CCTGATGCATTCCAGTTTTCTTAGGATTTATACATGGACAGAATGTTTTCTGTCATGTTCTCTGTTCCCTTTCTGGTAATTTTGTTTTTTTCACAGCTAGTGACTCTTAAGCCAACATTTTCATAGAGCTATCTACCAGAACTTGATAAGAATCCTAAATTCAGGACCTATTGTTACGTATATAAAAGCATGATTCTTTTCTCTGTGCATATCAGTTTGCATATATCAACAATGGATTTCACTTTCCATTTTATTATCCTGTAACTCAGTGTGGATGTCTTTTGGCAGCTCCCAATTTGTCAGCTTTTCCATTTATTTATTTGTCTAAATGAGTTAATGTTAGTAAACATTTGTCACTTCCTTGTCCATAACTCACCCTTTACATACCATGATTATGAATTTCCGGGACACCCAACACTAGTCCATGCGAATCTCTGATGTGAAAATTTGCCATTTATTGCTATCCATCATTCCCTCTCTTCATCCATTATGTGTTTTCTCCAAAGGCTGTTGAACTCTGCCTTTGTAAAAAAGCACCCAGGCCCTGTGGTTTATCTGATGCTTTATGAAGCTTACATTTGTTATTGCTGTGTAATAGCATAACTTCACCAAAAAGCATAACCCTTCTCCATGTGCCATTTTGCAATCAACCGGTTTTGGTACATGGATGTCAATTTGAATACTTTCAAACTGAAGTGATCTTGAACTTAGATTTCCTTCTGAGGTTCTGAGAAGAGTGCTCTAACCATTAGGCTTTGCTGCATGAGCAGTGGCAGTGGCCATATTGTATGAGCAAAGAGGGAGGACCACTGATTCTTTAAATAAATGAGTAACGTACTTAAATATGTCCAGGGTAGAGGTCTGTAGGCAGTTAAGTTTTGGTATTTAGCATATAGATGTCTAAAATTACATCTGGTTTATCTAACTAAAGCTGGTTAATCTAACCATATGCTCAGCAAAACTCCAGAAGCAGATGTGGAACTTTACTTTTCAAAATTATTGAGACTATTACGGATTTCAAGCACTTACAGGAATGACTATATCTTAAAATAGGCTTTATGGATAATGATTTAAAATCAAGTCTTACAATAAAAGGGAAAATCTGATCGTACAAGCAGCAGCAGCAAAATTCTAAGCAGATTTGCCAGATGAATTTCTAGCCAGAGAGACTTCAGGACTGCATCAATGGAGCCCAGAATTTCAATTATAACACTGGCAGTGACATCGTAGCAAGTATCACTGAGATCAGAATATATCCACTGAAACACTGCTATCACATTTCAGACCATAAAACACATTAATTCTAGAAGTCTTACTGCATTTGCATTTCTTTCTTGACTTGCATGCCCTATGGACTCATAATACACAAAGTAATGCCTCAGTTAGGAATAGTTTCCCATAGGTAAAAATAATAATCACTACATTAGCTAGCCACCAGAAATCAGAAACAGACTGGGGTGGGATCAGTGCCTTTTCTTAGGCCTCCATTCTAACACTAACTTTTACTTTGCTACCTTTGGCAGTCTAATGATAAGAAGATTAAGCTTGCTTGCCCTGCTTCCATCTGTTTCTTCTATTCACAACCACCCTGCCTGCACCCACTCAGTAAAGGCTCAGCTGCCTTTTCTGTGCAGAACACATATGTGCTTTAATCTGAAGGCATGCAGTTTCTGCATGGGGTGTACGGCTATAGTGGACAGGCAAAATCTTGTTGTTAGCACAAGCCTGTTTTCCTGTTTGATTTGTCAAGCGAAAATCTTACCTTTCACCCATTTACGCCTGCTCTTCTGCTCAGAGGAAAAGCTACTATTTAATTTCTTTACATCTCCTCCCATCATCTGGTTTTAAGCAGCATCGGGGTTGGTTTTGTTTATATATTGGGATTACCAGTTGTTGGTACAAAATTGTTGAAAAAAAAAAAAAAAACGTTGCAAAGGTTATGCTGAGAGCTGGAGTCTTTAAAAAGAAAAAAAAAAAAAAATGAGTAAACGAGTTAGAAAATATTTCTCAATTAGCTGATTTTCCCTTTCCTTCTGACAGCCTGAAATCACCAGGTTCTAACCCTCTATAATTTTCACTGTGCGAGCCACGAAAAAGAGCACCGTCTTTCGGTCATACAAAGCGTGGGCAGCCGCCTCGGGCGTCGCACTGAACCCCCCCGGGCGATCACCCGTGGCCGAGGCCCCCCGCTCCCCCCAGGCCGCCGCTGCCGCAAACCCCCGCCACCCGCCCGAAACCGCCCCCCGAGCCACCGCCCCCCGCCCCCCCGAGACACCGAGCGCCTCCGCCCAGGCGCCGGGTGAGGGTCGGGCGCTCACCCCCACCTCGGCTGCACCCAGGCACCTTCTCCCGCCGCGACACCTCCCCGCGCCCGGCCGCGGCAGCCGGCCTCTGTCGCGACACCTGCCCCGGAGGCCAGGCTCTGTCGCGACAACCGCGCCGGCCGCCGCGCGCGGCCTGCCCGGGGCTGCCGCGGGGGTCAGGGGTTTGGGGTCGGGGCTCGGGGGGGTCGGGAGGTGGCGGCGGGCCCTGTGCTGACACCCCACGCCGCGGTGCCAGGCTTCCCGGACCGGCCTCCTCACGGCGAATAAAAGTTTTCCCGCGATTAAATTTAGAAGGTTGTCCGGAATCTTGAAACTGTCCAGAATCCTCTCAATAATGCCCAGGAGGATTACCTCTTCTCCTGCTCCGGATTTCGCATCCCTCTTGCCCCTCAGACCGATGCGAGGGGAAAACTCAGCTTCCCTAAGATGCTTTGGAGCCCTAGACAGCAGACACAACGAGAGCGGTGGTATATATTTAACTACATCGAGCTATATAGATCTAGTGCTATTCGCCATTTATTTGGGGGACTTCTTTCTTTATAAACAACTAGTTTTTAGCAACAGAAATATCGACTTGGGTCCCTGCCTAAAATGGAAGACAGAGGAGTAAAGAAAATGTGAAGCATTTTTAAAAAATATATATTTTTTTTTCTTTTGAATATCTAATTACTGGTCGGTTTATCTGGCTGCAAAACTTTCGAGGCAATTCCCCTTCCAGTCCGATTTCCAAACCGTGATTCCGATCCGTGCCTCATTAGCATAACATTATTACTAGTATTTTTTCAGCGGTTGGAATGTTATAATTTCGAAAAATTAAGGTGTAACCCCCTTCTAGAGCAGAGGGAACAACTGGAAATTCAGCAGTTCCAGCTGAATTCCAAGTGGTCGAGCAGACCCCACGAGCGCGCGTGGGGGAAAACTCCGGACCGCCGGCACTCGAGGCCGAGCGGTTTTGGTTTTGCTGGCAGCAGTTCCTCGGGCTGGCGGTCCACCCCGAGGCGGGGGTGCCTCTCCCGGGGGCTGGGACTGCGACCCGGCCTCTCGGGGCACGGCGCGTCCGCGGCGTGAGGCGGGGAAGTCCCAGACAGCGGCTGGGATCCGGAACCCACTGACACCCGCGGCAAAACTCCAGCTGCCTCCAGTGGGACGGGGATCCGAGCCGGTGCCCGCCCCCCCAGACCCGACCGCCGGCTCTTCGCCCTGGGGCCGCGGGTAGCGGCGGGGCAAAAGCGTCTCGGCAGCCGGCGATTTACCTGCGGGAGGCTTCTTCCCCTTGTCTCCCCCCGCCCTGCCGCCGAGAACACTTTTGGGTACTTCTGTCGGTCTGGCAGTGCGAACCCGCGCTGCGAGCACGGCGTTTCTTAACCGGTGTGAGAGGCGAGTATTTTAAACAGCAGCACTAGCAGAAGCAAATGGATAGATGGGCTTTAATGAGCATTGGTGTACAGCAGGGCAGACAGGGTACGGCAGCAGTCACTCACAAACCAGCCGGGACTCATCAGCCGCGCTCTGACTTCTGATCCCTCTGCTTCACACAAGACCTCTCGTCTCTTGGAAGGTTGTTTTCAATAAAGTGCCTTTCCAGAATAATTCTTTTTAACCGTTTTGCTCTTGGTTTCCTCGCGCCTCCACACCCCCCACAACTCTTCTCCCCCTACCCCCTATCCCCCCCCCCCACCGCCTCCGCCAGGCAGGTTGTAGTGCTCACACTCACGTGGAAGAAACGCCAAGCAACACACACAAATATAGCAGTATTTGTGAACGGTGAAAGGTGATGTAAAAAGCGCAATCTACGGATCGCCGGGCTGGTATTATTTTAATGAGAAACTAGGGAATTCGGACACTCGCTCACAGCTCGGGAGGCCAGGTCACACTTTAGTCCCTCCAGAGGTATTGCCCTCCGACGGCAAATACTGGGATGGGCTGTAAAAGCGTGAGGGGGAAGGACAAGCGTTCGTTAGCGAAAGGAGCCCTCCGCCGTCAGTGCCGTTGTCATTTAAATTCGTGCTAACGAATCGAGCTGTTTAAAGCTTACACTTGGAGCAGCGCACGTCCTGAGGCTCCGCAGCTCGCCAGGCTCCGAGGTAACCGATTTGCCCACCTCTTTCGGAGCAAGACCTACAGGACGGCGGGGCCGAGGTTTCCCGTCCCTCGGGGGAGGGGGAGAAGCAGAGTCGGGAGAGGGTTTTACCCGGCTGCTCCCCCCCAGCCGCAGGCAGGCTGCAGCCCCCCCTCCCACCGGACCCCGAGTTTCGCGGGACCTCCGGGCCGGCCACCTGGGGGGTGGGTTTGGGGGGGAGCGGGGGGGAGCGGGTGGGGAACCCGGGCTGCACGGCCTCCCCGTGCCGCAGGCAGGCGGGCTGGCGGGGAGACCTTCCCTCCCAGTCCCTTACACCGAGCCAGCCCCTTTGGCCCCGGCTGTGACTTTTCACATCACCTCTCCGCCACTAACGATATTTAACAACGATAAAAGCTCTTACCTGCGACCTGGCTCTCAAATAATCGGATCGTACACAACATAAACACAGACACCAGCAGGGGTATAGTCATGAGATGGACAGGGTTTCCGTGCCGCACGCATGCCCCGGACCCCCGCATCCTCTCCCCAGGTAGAGCCTGGGGGCAGCTCCCTCCCCCCCCCCCCCCCCCAGCCCCCCCCCCCCGACTCCCTGCCCTTTAGGAGTGCACCAGGACGGAGTGGAGGGAGCCCTTGCCCTCGGGGGTGTTGCTCGCGGCCTGCTCCAGCAGCGAGGCAGCGGCCGAGGAAGCGGCGGGGCAGATCTGCGTGGCGGCGACGGTGAGAGCGGGGATGGCCGAGGCGGTGGGCATCGCCGGCGCCGGCTTGATGGGCACCGGGACGGCGGGCATGGTCTGTGCCGGCGGGTGGCAGAGCGCCTTCACGGGCACGCCGAAAGGTCCGTAGTCGGGGGACACGGGCACGCCGGCCACGGAATCCATCACCCCCACGTGCGGCCACATGGAGCTCACCACGCTGGTGAGCTGGCTGGGCACCGGGTAGCCCAGGTGGTGCATCACCGAGGCCAGCGGCAGCCCGCCGGCCTGCAGCACGCCCTTGTAATCTCTGCCGATGATGTTCTCGATGGCGAAGGGATGCTTGAAGCCCGAGGGCTGGCTGCTGCCGTAGGGCGAGAACTGCGGTAGCCTCCCCACGGCGGCGGCGGCGGCGGCGGCCACGGCCGCCTCGGAGCCCGCCAGCCCCGGCACCTTGCCCGAGGGAGGCGGCGGCGGCGGCGGCGGGTGGGGGTGGAAGTAGTGCACCATGTGCGGGGCGGGCGCGGGGGGCTTGCCGGGGCCGCCGCCGCCCCCCGCCCCGCCGCCCGCCCCGCCGCCGCCGGGCAGGTGGTGCTCGGGGCGCAGGACCTTGAAGCGCTTGCGGCGGCGGAGGAAGCTGCCGTTTTCGAACATGTCCCCGCAGTCCGGGTGCAGCGCCCAGAAGCTTCCCTTGCCCGGCTGGTCGGGGCGGCGCGGGATCTTGATGAAGCAGTCGTTGAAGGAGAGGTTGTGGCGGAGGGAGTTCTGCCAGCGCTGCGTGTGCTCCCGGTAGTAGGGGAACCGCTCCATGATGAACTTGTAGATGTCGCTCAGGGGCAGCATCTTCTCGGCCGAGTGCTGGATGGCCATGGCCGTCAGGGAGATGTAGGAGTAGGGCGGTTTCTGGTCGCTGTACGAGCTCTTTCCCGGCCTGGGCATCGCCGCCCCGCCGCGGCCCTCCCGCGGCCGCACGACCCCGCCGCGCCGCGCAGGGCGCCGCTCTGCCCCGCTCACGGCGGGATGGGGATGCCGGGGACGCCGCTGCCCTGCCCCGCCGCCGCCTCTACATCCTGGGCGACACCCGCCCGGCCCACGCGCGACCGCGACCGCCCCGCGGGGGCCGCCGGCCCGCTTGGCGCACGGCTCCCTCCGGCAGCCGCGCCCCGCGGGGCGCGCTTGCCTCGCCGCCCCCGCCGCTCGCCGGAGGGGCGGCAGCCGCCCAGGCCGCCGGGCCTCGGGGGACGCGGGGCAGAGGCGGGTCGCGGCCGGCGTCCCCGCTTTCCTCCCGGAGGCCGCCGGGTCTCCCGGGCTTCCCCGCTGCCGCCCGCCGCGCTCTGCGGGAGTTGACGCTCCGCGGGCAGGCACCGAGGGCTCGGGAGCACGAAATTACCCCGCAACCTCTGCAGAGGCGGGAGAGGAAGGAAGTAAAAACGCCCCTCTCACCGCTCGGTCCGGCGTCCCCTTAAAAGTTTGCGGCGGAGGCGAGCGGCGGGAGCCGGCGGGGAGAGGCGGCGAGCGCGGAGGCGGCCGCCGCGGCTGTGGCGGGGCTGCGCGCTCCGGCGCCGTTTTGTAAGGATGCCCGAGCCGGGAGACCCCCGCAGCTCCCGCTCTCCGGCTATCACATGACAGCGGCTCGGGGACTCGGCGTCTGGCGGCAAAAAAGCGGCGAGGAGCGGCGCCCCGGCTCCCCTCTCGCTCACACCTCCTCAGCGGGGCGAGGTGGAGCCAGGGGGCTGAGGAAACGCCATGTGGGAGCGAGACCCGCTCTCAGAACACAGGGCAGGGAACGGCAGAGCCCGAGCAGGGAAATTGCCTCCTCCCCCCACTCCCCCCCCGCTCCCCCACACCCCCCCCCCCGCTCCCCCCGAGCCCTGTGGCAGCCCCCCCCGTAGCCAATTTCCCTTATCCCCTAGCCCCCCTCTCTCCCGAACAACCCGGCTCCGCGCAGCGAGCGCCGGGCGCCTCCGAGGACACCGCACCACCGGGGGATGGGAACCGGGCGAGTCGTGTCAAGACACGCCGCGGAAACGGGCGTCAAGCTGGCCCCGGGACCCAGCAAGCGGAGAATACGGGCCCTTCAGAGTAATTTCTTGACCTCCCTTTCGTTGAGTTTAAATGGCTACGCGAAGCCTAGCACAAAAGCAAGAGAGATGCGAAAAATCCTACGCTTTTCCCTCCAAATCGTTACGGTCAACTGCTACCAGCCGCGATGCGGCTCGTAGAAAACACCGAGGGACCCAGCCAAAGCACCCTCTGCACGCTTCCAGACGAGCTACTTAGCGCCAGTGTTGACTTAGACCGGCTCATTAGGAGGAATCAATGAACAGCGCAACCATTCGTATCTGTCCTCCGAACGTACTGTGTTACAGCGGGCAGGCTGTATAGGTTTGAGCGAGGAACAGGGAAGCCTGCTCTCTTTGCAGCCGCTAGAGCTGGAAGAAACCCTGCCCAACGTAAGCACCTACCAGCGCTCGATTAGCGAGATGCTATAGGAGGTGTCAGCGTTAAAATGATTAGTCCGGCTTTTATTGGCTAAATAAACAAATAGGTTGGAAGAGCCTTGCTGTCTTAAAAAAAAAAAAAAAAAAAAAAACAAAAAACAACACCAAAAAAAAAAAAAAAAAAAACCAAAACACCAAAAAAAAGCTCTTTTCTCTTTTCAGCCCACCTTTCCACGCTGGTGCCGTGGGTCAGCCGGCAGGTCTGGGTGCAGCGCGGGTCCCGGCGTGTCCCGCCGCGCCGGGGCGCGGTGAGGTGCGGTGAGGCGCGGTGAGGTGCGGTGAGGTGCGGTGAGGTGCGGTGAGGTGCGGCGCGGGCAGGACCCGGCCTGCGGTGCCGTCCGCGCCCCGCTCCCGCCGTCGGGGGGGTGATTTGAGCATCACAGCTGTTTGTCTCTCTGCGAGTCAGGCGTTGCAGGTAGAAGTGGCCAACAGGAGTGGGAAGGGGGGCGGCAAGGGGTAAGAGGGGGGAAGAAAAACCAACCTTTTAACTATCTAACCATGATCTCTGCTAAAGGAGTGAAGGAAAAGATTAATTTAAATCCCTTTCTTAAGTAGTGTGTATTTAATAATATTATACCGGACCAAGGGCAGTCAAGTGAAGAGAGTAATCAAAGGTAACGAAACAGAAGAAGCAGCCAAAATTTTTAAAACCCTAGTTTCGCGAAGAAGCGCATGTTTTTTTTTTTTTTTTAAAAAAAAAAAAAAAGTTTCAGGTTATTGTCCAAAGCATTCACTTTGCCTCTGAGAAACTAGTAGACACCTATGGTGCCAGCAACATTTACATCGTTCATCCCGGGGAGCTTTTCCCCCTATTGCCCGCACGGCGGGAGACGACACTCGGGCATCTTCCCTGGTGTGTCTGTGCATATTCTCCAAAAACATTTTATTCGTGTTTTACTGAATAACCCCTTGTTGACCGATTGGAAGACCTGTTCCTATCCTCAAATTCTAAGTCCTGGGTCTGAAAGTCATTGCCTGCCTCACCTCACCAGTTAGTAACTCGGCGCTTTCTGTCCCCCCGTACGGCACGTGTGCAGCTTTAGCCTGGCCCTGTCGTACACCAATACTCTTCATCTCCGTTGCAGCCGGATTTTTTTTTTTTTTCGCGGGAGAACCGATCCAGCCCAAGAGTCCTGTGAGCCGCCGAAGTGCTCTATTCGCATTTGTTCTTCTCTGACTCTTTCCCCAAAGCGTCCACTCCCGGGGGCAGGGGTAACTCGCCGTTTCCCCGGGAGGACGTGGGGGGACCCCGGGCGGGAATCCCGGGTGGGGAGCACGGGTGGGGGGTGCCGGCCGGCAGCAGCGAAGCCGCTCTCTGGGCACCATCCTGTGGCGGGCACCGCTGCGGGAAACCCGGGGCCGCAGTGCCACCAGCCCTGTCCCCTGCCGACGGGAGCCGTCGGCCTCCAAGGTGGGTCTTTCGATAGACGAGGGGGTGCCGGAGGAAGCCCGCGTTTAACGGGATCCCTTCCCACGCTATCGGGAAGGTACTGGCATGCACGGGCTGCTTGCTAGTCAGTTAGGTGCGCGGGTTTGTTGGGTAGCACCACCGCAGGGCTGTGGTCTATCCAGGTGTTGTGGAAGCGAGCCCTGTTTCCAGAAGCCTCTGAGGCAATTACCCAAAGAAAAGCACCTCAGGTGATCGCCCTGGCATCAACCAGGCCAGTTCAGATTTCAGTGGGTAACGATTTACAAATGATACACTTCTGGCAGCCACCCTGGGTTGCTCCCAGTTATCGCTGTATCCCTCCCCACGTGGCAACATAGTTTTTCAGGCTTTTTCCAACCAGAAAAATCACTATAACGCTTTGTTGCCCTCGGGAAGTTACTTCTCACACACCTCAATCGCCTTCAATCCACGGGCAAAACTTCTCTCCCCCCCGGAAGATGGCCGTGGCTTTTCTAGAGCAGGGTGACGGTCACCTCTCTCTCGCTTTCTTTGCAGGGTTGGCGCTACGTTAGACACACCTGCCTTCTTGTTTTGCCGCAATCTGCCTGGTTTAGTGGAAGCTAGATTTAGAGAGGGCTTTGGTGTCAGGGGGTTAAAAACCTTCGCTTGGCAAGGGCTGCATCATTGGGGAAAACAGACCCGAGCTGCACCCGGTGGGCGGCCAACCTTAAAGCACGGACTGGTGGGGCCAAGCTCTGCTCCCTCCTTGGTGGGAGAGGTGTCTTCGAGCAGGGAAAAAGCTGTCACCCCCAGCCTCCTCCTGCAGCCTGTAGCTCAAGGTCCGCCAGTTTCAGCGGAGGAAACCGGAGGAACTGCTCTTGCATTAGAACACGTATTGTCAGCAGAGAGACGTGCTTGTGCTTCCTCCTCTTCATCCCTCTTTCTCTCTTTTTCCCCCTTTTTTTTTTTTTTTTTTTTTTTTTTTTCCCTTCTGTCCGTGTCTCCTGCTATCTAGTCCTTCTGTTTGTCACGACTTGCTGTCACCGATGCTAATTTTAAGGCGAAGTGAAGTCAGGCAGGATGAAGGATAATCACACCTGCCTCTTATGAGGTGATGGAGTAGGGAAGGATGAGAGCACTCGCTGCTCCTGAGAACGGCTCGCTGTCCTTGGCAAGAAACCGGCAGAGCCGAACCGTTGGTTTTTGGTTTGGTTTTGTTTTGTTTTGTTTTTTTATTGCTGTTTTTGTGAGGTGAGATCCGTCGGTCGCTTCGAAGCGGCGTGCCGGCGCACACCCCCATCTCCCTTCCCAAAGGAACGCCACGCTTTCCCGTCCCGTCCCGCCCCGCCCCAGGAGAGTCCCACCCGTGTCAGGGGCTGCTTTCCCTGCGCGGGCACCCCGCGCTGCCAGTGCCAGCTCGGGGAGCGACCGGCGGTTTGGGGGGCACCAGGCTGATGGTTCGGCTGGGCAAAGGCCGGGATGGCCGGGGAGCTGCAAGTTTAGGGTGAGGCGGTTGCGAGCAGGGTGCCCGGGCCAGCCGGCGGGAAGGCTGCGGTGCCCCTCCGGCACCCCATCGCCGGCCCGCGGCCGCGCAAGTCTCGCTTGCCGCCTGCCCGCCGCGCATCTCGGCTCTCGGCCCGCCAGCGGCTTGCGCGCCCGCGGAAGACGAGCCGGGCGTTTGGCACTGCCGGTGCGCGGGGCTGGGGCAGCCCCCCTGCGCGGCCGCCTCGCCTTGCCGCGGAGGGGAGCGGAGCGGGGCGCAGGGGCCGCGCAATCCCTGCGCGGTCGCCGGCGGCCCCGGTGCGCGACGTGTGCGCGGCGGGGGTGAGCCGCGGACACGGCGCCCGCCGGCAGCGCTCTCTGTCCCTTTAAAATCGAGGGGAGGACGTAGCACTACTACTAACAGCAACAACAAAAAAAAAACTTTCCCGATCTCCTGCAAAGAGTAATAACAAAAGACTGTTCATCAGCAGCCAGGTGTCATGGTGCAACTCTTGACAGCAACTGTCTTCCTTTTGAGCCAGCCAGTTCTGGAATACATTACATTA